GCGTAGGTGGCACTTCAGGTACTGCAGGAGTCAGTCCTGGTAGCGTAGGTGGCACCTTAGGTAGTGTTGGTGGAACTCGAGTTGGCGTTAGGTTGGCTATCATAGGTGTTAGTTGGGTAGTCTCAGTGCTACTTTGGGAACCGCAGGTGTTAAGTTAGGTATCGTAAGTGGTACTTAGGGAACAGTAGGTGTGAGGCTGGGTATCAGAGGTGGCACTTTGCATACTATAGGTGTTAGGGTGGGTATCATAGGTGGCACTTAGGGAACCATAGGTGTTAGGGTGGGTATCAGAGGTGGCACTTAGGGAACCATAGGTGTTAGGGTGGGTATCAGAGGTGGCACTTAGGGAACCATAGGTGTTAGGGCGGGTATCAGAGGTGGCACTTAGGGAACCATAGGTGTTAGGGTGGGTATCATAAGTTGTACTAAGGGAACAAAATGTGTTAGGTTGGGTATCAGAGGTGGCACTTTGCATAACATAGGTGTTAGGGTGGGTATCATAGGTGGCACTTTGGGAACCATAGGTGTTAGGGTGGGTATCAGAGGTGGCAGTTTGCATAACATAGGTGTTAGGTTGGGTATCATAGGTGGCAGTTTGCATCCTATAGGTGTTAGGTTAGGTATCAGAGGTGGCACTTAGGGAATCATAGGTGTTAGGTGGGTATCAGAGGTGGTAGTTTGCATCCTGTAAGTGTTAGGTTGGGTATCAGAGGTGGAAGTTAGGGAATCATAGGTGTTAGGGTGGGTATCATAGGCGGCACTTTGGGAACCATAGGTGTTAGGGTGGGTATCAGAGGTGGCAGTTTGCATAACATAGGTGTTAGGTTGGGTATCATAGGTGGCAGTTTGCATCCTGTATGTGTTAGGTTAGGTATCAGAGGTGGAACTTAGGGAATCATAGGTGTTAGGTTAGGTATCAAAGGTAGCTCTTAGGGAATCATAGGTGTTAGGTGGGTATCAGAGGTGGCAGTTTGCATAACATAGGTGTTAGGTTGGGTATCATAGATGGCAGTTTGCATCCTATATGTGTTAGGTTAGGTATCAGAGGTGGAACTTAGGGAATTATAGGTGTTAGGGTGGGTATCGGTGGTGGCACTTTGCATAATATGTGTTAGGGTGGATATCAGAGGTGGAAGTTAGGGAATCATAGGTGTTAGGTAGGGTATCAGAGGTGGCAGTTAGGGAATCACAGGTGTTAGGTGGGTATCAGAGGTGGCAGTTTGCATAACATAGGTGTTAGGTTGGGTATCATAGGTGGCAGTTTGCATCCTATATGTGTTAGGTTAGGTATCAGAGGTGGCATTTAGGGAATCATAGGTGTTAGGTGGGTATCGGAGGTGGTAGTTTGCATCCTGTAAGTGTTGGGTTGGGTATCAGAGGTGGAAGTTAGAGAATCATAGGTGTTAGGTAGAGTATCATGGGTTGCAGTTAGGGGCCATAGGTGTTAGGGTGGGTATCAGAGAGAGAATAGAGACAGGGAACACAGGGGTAGGGAGCACCAGCCAATGGCGACCGGGGGGGGGGGTGGACGGACGGGGACAGACCGGAAAAGGGGCGGGGGTAATCGTGATTGACGGGTGCTGTACCCAAGGGGGGGGGAGGAAGAGGGGTGGGGCTACAAGTGATTGACCGGGGCTAGGAGTGGCGTGGCTAGGAGTGATTGATGGGGGCTCTATGCAATGGTGGGCGTCGAGGGGCGTTAACAAGACAGGCAGAGAGGAGGAGCTAAAGGTGATTGAAGGGCTCTGCCGCCAACGGCAACCATGGAGGGGTGGTGACGAAACAGACCCAAAGAGGGGCAGGACTAAGGCTGATTGACGACTGGCTCAGCCAGTAGCGGCCGTGGTAAGAGACCGGAAGACACCGGGGAACTAAGGATGATTGACGATTGGCTCAACCAATGGCTTCCGTGTGGGGGCAGCGGCATAAGAGACCGGAAGAAGGACGGTCCAGCCTATATCGGCTGTAGGGAGCCGTGGGCAAAAGCAGAAGGGGGCGAGCCTAAGCGTCACTGACGGGAGCTCTAGCCCATGGCTGTCGTGGCTGGGGCAGTGGCAAATCAGACCGGAGTAGGGGTGGGGCTGTGATTAACGGGCTCTTCGGCCACTGGCGGCCGCGGGTTGTCTGAAGTCGCTCCCGTTGCCCCTCTGCGGCTCCTCCCGCTGCAGTACCGAATTTCGGCCACACGATGGCAGCAGTAGCATTGCACTGAGCCGCTCGCCCCCCCTTTCCATCTCCATCACCTGCAGTACCCGCTCTTGGGCACATGATGGCAGCAGCGAGCCGCTTCCTGCGCCACGCCATGCCTCCCCCGCAGTACCGAAGTTTGGACACGTGGTGGCAGCACACGCGGACTTTTCGGTACCAAAGGAACTTCCTTTCTTTTAGGCGTCCCGTACCTAAAATGAGAGAAGAAACGGGCAAAAATGGGTTAGAAAAGGGGAAAAAAATGGTTTAAAACACCTTAAAAATGGTCAAAGAAAGACTAGAAATGGCCCAAAATGGATTAAAACAAGTAAGAAGTGGGTAAAAACGGGTTAGAAATGGGCAAAAATGGCTTAAAATGGGTTAGAAGTGGGCAAATACGGGACAGAAATAACCATAAATTGTTCAGAAATCGAAAAAAAAAAAAAAAGCTTTAAATGGGTTAGAAATGGGAAAGATGGGTTAGAACTAGCCAAAAATGGCCTAAAACTGGTAAGAAATGGGACAGAAATGGCCATAAATTTTTTAGAAATAGACAAAAATGGCTTAAAATAGGTCAGAAATGGGGGAAAATGGCTTAGAAACAGACAAAATGGCTTCAAACGGGTAAGAAATGGGCAAAAATGTGCTTGAAATGGCAAAAAAAATGGGTTAGAAATTAAGAAAAATGGTTTAGAAATGGCCAAAATGGCTTAGAACAGGTTAGACTTGGACATAAAAGGGTTACAAATGGCTAAAAATGGTATATTGGGTTAGAAGTGGCCAAAAATGGGTTAGAAATGGTCAAACATGGCTTAAAACTGGGGACAAATGGGGAAAAAAGGCTTAGAAAAATAAAAAAGTGGGTTAAACCGAGTTAGAAATGGGCCAAAAAGAGGTGGAAATTGAAAAAAAAAAGGCTTTAAACGGGATAGAAATGGACAAAATCGGGTCAGGAACTGCAAAAAGAGTTTAGAAATAGCAAATAAAAGCTTACAATGGTTTAGAAGTGGGCATAAATGCGCTAGAACTAGCCAAAGACGGGTAAAAAATGGGTTAGAATTTGGCAAAAATGGGTTGGAAATAGCCAAAACCAGTTTAGCAACACAAAAAAAAAAAAACACAAAACCACATTAAAATGGCCTTAAAAAGGGAAAAATGTGTAAAAAAAAAAAAAGCCAAAATGGCTTCAAATGGGTTAGAAATTACCAAAAATGTCTTAAAGCAGGTTAGAAATGGTCAAAAAATGGTTAGAAGTTGCCAAAAATTGGGTTAGAAATGGCCAAAAATGGTTTAGAAATGGGAAAAAGAGGTTTAAAACGGGTTAAAAATAGCCAAAAAGTGGCTTAAACCAGTAAGAAATGGGCAAAAATGGGATAGAAATGGCCATAAATGGCTCCTTCCTTCAATCCTTCCTTTTTCCTTCCCTTCCTCCTTTAATATCCTCCCTTCCTCCTTTCCCTCCCTCCTACCTTCCTTCAGAATGAGAGTGAACACAAGAGCAGAGGTTCTGAGGCAATCTAATGGAAGAGAAGGTAAGGGTACATTTGAATATGGGGAACAGAACAGAAGGGAAGAGAATCTAAGAGATTACTAGAGAAGAACATCTAGGGGAAAAGAATACCAGGGAATGTAAGAGATTATAATAGAGTCTAACACTGTAAGCATTAGAGAAGAGAATTGAAGAGCATCTAAGAAGAGAATATAGGGGGAGAGAAGATCATGGAATAGAAGAGAATCTAAGACTAGAAGAGCAGAGAAGAGAACCTAAGAGAAGCCAAGAGAGAAAAATTGAAGAGCATACAGGAAAGAGAAATTTAGAGAATCTAAGAAAAGGAAACAGAAGAGACCGTAAGAGTATACAAGCAAATAAAACAGAAGGGAATCTAAGAGAAGAATGTGTAAGGAAATATAGAAGAGAGACAGGAGTAAGTGAAAACACTATACAGGGTAAGACAATAAAAGAGAAAATAAGAAAATGTAGGACTATAAAAAAGGGAAGAGAATATAAAAGAGGGAAAAGACTCTAAGAGAGCATAAGGGAAGGGAAGAGAATGTAAGAGAAAGGAATGTATGAGGAGAGACTGTAAGAGAATCTAAGATAAGGGAAGAGAACGTAAGAGAAGAGAAGAGAATATTAGAGAACATATTTCTATAGGAGGATCTAGATCTGCCCAGCTGTCACTCTGCATTCATGCCAGTGTAAGAGGAAACAAAGTCCTGCATCCAGATCTTGAGCCCCAACTCAAGAGGGACGTGAGCCAGAGGAAACCGTGGAGATGCTGCGAGGGCTGGAGTACCTCTGCTGTGGAGCCAGGCTGAGAGAGCTGGGCTGGGTCAGCCTGCAGAAGAGAAGGCTCCTTAAGGGTTGACCTTAGAGCAGCTCCAGTGCTTAAAGGGGCTACAAGAAACCTGGAGAGGGGCTTTGGACAAGGGCCTGTAGGGACAGGACAAGGGGGAATGGCTTTAACCTGACAGAGGGGGGACTGAGATTAGACATTAGGAAGAAATTCTTCCCTGTGAGGGTGCTGAGGCACTGGCATAGGGTGCCCAGAGGAGCTGTGGCTGCCCCATCCCTGGCAGTGTTCAAGGCCAGGTGGGACACGGGCTTGGAGCAAGCTGCTCCAGTGGAAGGGGTACCTGCCCGTGGCAGGGGTTGGAACTGGATGAGCTTTAAGGTCCCTTCCAACTTGAACCATTCCATGATTCTATAAAATGCAGAAATGGGGAGGATAACTACAGGCAAATTACAGACCAGCTGGTGAAAGCAGAGGGGAAATGCATTTCCTCTCCTGGCAAGGTCAGAGCAGCATGTGCTACAATTCCCAGACATGCCTCTGCTCTCCTCTGTTGCTTCCCATTAGCAGAAACCTTTCTTTTCTTTTTGGTCTTGCAGCTGAAAGAGGTTAAAAAAATCTTGTGGAGCTCTCAAAAGGGTCTGTTCTGGCACACACAATGTCCACACGAGTGCATGCTGCTCTGAAACAGAAGGGTTCTTATATTTACCCAAGAACAAGAACCAGGTTTTTCTTCAGCTCAGGAAATCACTGCTGAGAGTCCACAGCATCAGCACTGATGAGGCTGATAGGCTGGTGTGTCTAACACAGATATCACATCTGCCACCTTGCTTAGCTTAGGTTTCAGCACAGCTGCTGAGCACCGCTGCTAGCCACCAAACACACCGGCTGAGGAAGCTCTGAGTGATGAGATGCTAGACCTCGGTGGAAAGTTCTGGCACCATTTATTTAGTCAGCAGATCAACACTGAAGGCCAAAGGGGGATAACATCCCCTATGCAGGAGGAGGAGGTGCCAGAGAAACCCTAAAGTACCAGCGAGCTGTTGGTGCTGGGCACCAGCCCTGTACGTGTAGCCTGTGCCCATCCTGCAGCCCCACAGGCTGGCCCTGCTCCTCCTGGCCAGGATGCGTGGCTGCACAGCCCCCCCCGTGTCCTGCCTCTGCTGACACCCGCTGCTGATTCTGTGGCCCTAAACCTACAGGGAATCCCACTTGGGGCTCATTCTCTCTTGCTCTCTGCGGGCTGCTGCTCAGGGTCCTGCCGGGGCTGGAGGGAGGCAGAGGAGCATCAGGTACCTGGTTTCTACGTGGCAGCGCAGCCCCTGCGATGCAGACATCCACGCAGCAGGTCGTCAGCTCTTTCCGTTTCTGTTCTTACTCCAGGGTATTCCCTGGGCACTTTACCTGGAAGATCACAGTACATTATTTCCTAACAGGAGCTGGGGATCGGAAGCTAAATCCATTCTAACACGGGAAACAAGTGATTCAAAAAATTTCCCTTTTTTGACCCAATGAACCCTTGCATCCACTCCCAGGGTCTCTTGAAGCAGCTCCGTGCTTAGGCTGATGACACGACTGCTTTCAAGGGATGCAGTGACAGATGAGCCTGAAAGAACACAAGTTTCAAGAAAAGAACAAAGCGCCGTGCCTTAGGGCATTGTATTTGAGAGCTGTGAGCAACAGCAGCAAGGTCAGAGCAGGCAGTTTCCAGATTTCTTTATGCTGTTTGGAATCGGGGAGGAAAAGCCCCTCACCTAAGCGCTGTGGCCCTCACCTAGAGCTCTTCTGCCCCAGAGGCAGTGTGTCTGCTCACTCTTTCTGGCTGTGCTTCCCTCCCAGGTCAGCTGGCTGCTCAGGGCCTGCCCAGCAGTGCCCATGGTTGAATTAACACCCCTGTGAAGTACTGCCCTGCCCAAGTCTAGTCTCATACCTGTGCAGCATACATATGACATCTTTGCTGACAGCTACCCATCCCTTTGAGAGGAAAAACCAGGGCTGTTGCCACAGATGTGGCAGGTTTGAAGGCAGCTGATGCAGAAAATGCCATGCTGTACACTGTGCTTCCCACCCCATTTCCTTCTTCTCCCTCTGCTCAGTTCAGGTCCCTTCCCTCACCCACCACACCTCCTGTGCTGTCTTTCATCATTTCATCCACCACAGTCACCCCTCATCCCTCCGATACCTGCTCACTTCCGAGCTCCCCACAAAAGGAAGGAAGAATGAAGAGGATTTTACACGCAACGGGTCTGGCGCATTTGCTTCTTCATGGCATCCTGCTGGGAAAGCCACTGGATGTTTGCCACCACGGTGCTACTGTGGCACCCACAGTGCCTTCAGCCTCTGCTTTGCTTCTCTTCCTCCAAGCTCTGTTAAGGGTCTGGAAGAATCCTGATACTTGTTGAGCTGCTGGAGGAAACAAGCCCACCCTGGCCTTCCATGGACGGGGACGGCTACTGCCCAATTCTCCCCAGTTGTCCTGGGTTCAGCAGTAGCAGTCATGTTTTTCCTTTGTGTTAACTGCTGCAGTGCTGTGTTTTGATTTCTAGCTTGAGAACAGTGTTGGTGAAGCCGATGTTTTCGGTTGTTGCTAAGTGATGTTTACCCTGACCAAGGACTCTGTGAGGCTCATGCTCTGCCAGGGAGGAGGGGAAGCTGTGAGGAAGCAGAGACGGGGCGCCTGACCCAGGCTAGCCAGGGAGGTATTCCATACCACAGCACGTCATGCCCGGGGTGAGGGGTAACTGGGAGTTACCCGGAAGGACAGGGGCTTCCGGGTGGAACTCGCTTTCTTGGCCGGTGGTATCGTATTCTCTTCCCTTGTTATTTTCCCTTATCATTGTTTTAGCTGATAGTAGCGGTGGTGATTTGTTGCTGGACTGTTCTTGTCTCAACCCGTAGGAGTTGCACTCTCTCGATCCTCCTCCCCGTTCCTCCGGGAGCGGGGAAGGGGAGAGCCCCGGTGCGGGGGGGAGACGGACACGGACCTCGATTGTTGTCAGCTCGGCACCACTCACTGGGAGTGAGTGAACAAGTTACCAGACTGGGTTTAAACCACGACACCAATCTATGATGGGGGGAAAGCAGCAAGATGCTGTTTTACAGCTATCTCCATCCTTTTCTCACAGCTGCACGCTGCTGCCTAGCTCCTCTGATGCTGCAGCCACCTTATCTACCCCACCGTAAAGCATTTCCAGCAGCCACAGGATATGCTAGCTTATCAGACTGCATCTCTTTAAAGATATTTTGTGCTCAGCCATACCCCATCTGTGCTACATGGCCTGCTTTAAAACTCTCTGTTCATTTCCCCCCTCCTCCCACCAGTCTCTGATCTGCCTGGAGCACTTCTGAGCCCCAATGCTGGGAACTGCATTCGGGCCACATCGCCAGCTCTAAAGGTGGTGTCAGCCACAGCCCTTTCATGCAGCAGAGCACACCAGCCTGGTTTGCCTGCCTTGTACTCGAGCACAGAGGCTGCTGCTGGCACTGCAGACCAGGGCTGATGAAAGCAATCTGGGCATCAGCCATGCCAGCAAAGACGTCTGCCTGATGCAGTTAATGAGCATAACAATGCAGCAGCTTCAGCCTTTGATGTAAGCTATTTCCCTACTGCTACTTACTGTAGTGCAGAGAGGTTTTCCTCAGGTGACAGCAGCTTCCTTCCAGGGTGCAGGCAGTGAGCAGCAAGCCCCTCTTGGGAAACCCAGGGCTGAGCACACAAGAACTGGAGAGAGCTCTGTGCATGACCCACGTTAGTGCCTGTGAGTGCCTAAGACACTTACATATCGCCCAGCAGTTGAGTTATTTGTGTGTTTATCAGTCACTGAAGTCTGATTTTGCAGCAAGTGCTCTCAGCAAATGACCACAAGGAGGTCCGAGTTGCTTGGAGAGGCAAATAACTGCTTAACCAAGCCTGTTCAGTCATGGTGTTCCTCCCTGTATCTCTGAAAGCTGCAGGGTTTCACCACTGCAGTTTCCTGTAGGAATGGCAAAAAACCACATACTTCAAATTCAGAAGTTAAATTCCTTCCAAAGTGCATTTAGGTGCAAGCAGAAATTCAGTGACATACACACAGAATCACCAGTTCAGAGAACTGTTCCTTCTGCAGGCCACATAGAGCCACTGTGCACAGGATGGGCTCTGACAAAAGCTGATTTCCATCAGCCCATGAACTCACACTCTTCACATAACCAGTTTTCTTGCAGAACATCCTGCAGCCAGTGTGACACAGACTCAGTAGCTACTACTTACATCTGACAGACTTGGCAGGGTGGCAGAATGCCTGCCTTGAGCAGGAGCCATCTCATGCAGCCCTTAATGGCAAGTTCCTTGTTTTGCACTGGTGTTCCCTCTTTCAGGCATGAGTGTCTGCTTTACATCCACAGAATGGAACTCTCTCCTGGAATGCAGGGGCTTACAAACAGGTTAATCCTTGCACCCCCTCACTGCCCTCACAAGGAGTGGATGGCTACATGCCTCACTCACTCACTTAGGGTTTCAAGCATGCCTTTGGGATGCAGGAACTCAGATTCATCTCTCTTCCTCAGCTTTGAGCAGGAGCTCCAGGTTTGCAAGGCAGCCCAAAGGCTCAGAAACCTGCCCAGTTAGAGCCAGAGCACGAGCATGTCCACATAGTGACATCTGCTATGCCCCTCCAGGCCTTCACACCGCTCCTCTGTCTCCCAAGCCAGCAGACCTGTTAGAAGAGCTTTTGTTCATGGGTTGTGCTGGGCTTTAGGTTTGGTTGCTGCAATCCCTGCCTAGCTCATAACCAAGCTAAGGGTAACCTTACCCCATTTGCCCAGCCTGGCTTAAGGAATCCCACTGTCACAGGATGCCCTCACTGTCTATAGGGGCTCTTCTCACTGCTATTCCACCCCTCCATTCAAGATGCCACTATTTAATACAGACTGCCTGCCGTGTCCTATTGGAAGTGTACTTGGAGATATTTACTCCTAAACTGAGTAAATGTACACAAAGCATGACAAAGGATGCATCCCAGTTAGAGGCTGACTGAGGCGGCCAGCTTTGTAGACTCAAATCCACATTTGTGATGGGCAAAGTAAATAGTTACTTAAATACCTTATTTTCTATGGGATATGCATCTATCAAGAGGTAGGAGGAAAGTCTTACCGTGTCTTTTCCTATTTCAGGTCTCAGAACATCACACAACTTCTGCGCAACAGGACAATGAATGTGTCCAGCAACTGCAGTATCACAAGTCCAGAACTTTATCACCATGTCTGTCTCTTTGAACTTGCTCTGTATAAGGTCATTTTCTTTATTGGAGCTCTATTTAATGCCCTTGGCCTCTGGGTGTTCTTCTGCAAGATAAAGAAGTGGACAGAAACAAGGGTGTATGAAATCAACTTAGTCTTTGCAGACTGCTTTGTCATCTGCACCTTCCCTTCAGGGCTTATTTGCTCTGGAATAAGTCAGCCCGGGATGAACTCTGCCAGTTTACAGAGACAACGTATTTCATCAACATGTCACTGTGTACCTACGCAATTACATTTATCTCCACTGACCGATACATTGCCATAAAACACCCCTTGAAAGCCAGGGCCTTCGGGTCTCCATCAAAGGCAGCCCTTCTCTGTGGGCTTCTGTGGGTTTCTGGGATAATCGGTGCCACTGCACAGATTCGGCAGAGCCAGTCCACCCTGTGCTTCCAGAAGGATACCACCGTGCCTGCTGCTCTGAGCCTGCTTTCCATGTTCTTCATTTTTATTCTTCCATTAGCAACCTCGACTTTTTGCTCCACAGAAGCGATCAGGAGCCTTAAGAGATGCCTGAACACCAATTCACCAGAAGAGAAACCAATCCAGAAAGCTGTTCACATTATTTATGCAAACCTGATTGTATTTCTAGTCTGTTTTCTGCCAGCCTTCTTTGGGTTACTTGCCAGGTTCCTAACGGATAGCGTTGCAGCTACCTGTTTCACATTCCACGTGATGAAGAACATCTCCCCCGTGACAAGGTGTGTTGCCACATCTAACTGCTGCCTGGATAGTGTCTGCCACTACTGTGTGACTAAGGAGTTCCATGAAGCCCTTCTACCGTCCAAAACCAGCAGTGAAAAAACAGATCAACTCCATCCCTTCCAGACACACACTTGCTAAAGGAAAGAGCGGGGTAGAAGGAGGGAGGCAAGAGAGATGAAAAACAGCAATCCCCGCAAAAAAAACATCTCTGCAACATCAGGATAAGACATCTTCAGTGTTACTGGGCTAACTGTCGCTCTTTCTCTCTGGAGAGACCACACAGTCAGAGAATAGCCTGGGTTGGAAAGGGCCTACAAAGCTCATCTAGCCCCCCATCCCAGCCACCAGATCAAGTCACGACATAAACAAGGTGTTGCACAGTGTAGGTGTTAAGAGCCACCAGCGCTGCTGAAGTTTTGAGGCAGAGGAAATGGGACCTTCTACAGTACTTGCAATGATCGTAGGTGCAGGCGTACCTGCTAAAAAGGGGCAACCCTCTCCAAAGGGTCTGATATTAACTTGAATTTTGTCCTTCTGTCCTCAGTGACTTGACTCCAACTTTGACTATGGTCTTAGATCACTGTATCACAGCTTCGAGAGGGAGAGCCATGTGGGATGGAGAACAGATGCTAAGGCCACTGCTTCCACCATGCACTTATTGGTACATAACATGCAATTAAACACAGGAAACCGAGCACCCACACAGCAGTACACAAATCCACTTCTGGTGCTGCTATACAGAGGGTCACTTAAAACCAAGAAAAAAAACTTGTGCTACAATGCCAAACCTAATACATCTGTGCTGCTCACACCAAACCATACACTGGGAGCTTCCTGCCAGCCTGTATCATTTCAAAGCTTGCAGCTATTACCAGGACACAGCTATTGTTGTGCATGGAGTAAAGACAGTGGCCTGAGATTATTGCCCCATTCCTGCCCATTAACACTTGTACCAGCTTGTGGCAACACCCTGGCATTTGTGAGACTAAAACCATTGTGGGTATAAATAAAGCCATTACTGCATGGAAAAACAGAGCCCGGCAAAGCACTGTAGACCCCAGAACAGAATTTTTCATTGTGCCTATCAGACCTAAATCTGGGCAGATGGGATCTTCCTAGCTGGATCCCGGACCACGCATCGATGTACATGGCTGGCTTTCCGACTACAAATCTCCCCTCTAATACCTGTGCTTGCTGACTATGCACCATGTATCCTCCAACCCCACAGGGAAGTGACAGCAGAGCAGCTCAAAACAGTTAAGCCACAAATGGAAATCTTGGGCACTAAAAGGAAGTGCCCCACAGCGTCAGCATGGGAAACATTAGAGAGTTGTTGAAATGCATGTGATAGCTGTATCTCCTTTGGCTTCGTGGGCCTTGACTCTGAGCCTCTTCTGACTTGTCAACACCTAAAACATTCCTCCAGGGAATGCAAATCCATATTGTGCTCATTTAAACCTACAGACAACTAACTTTCTTGGTGACAGCTTACAAACAGTTCCCCTAAAAGTGTCCTGTCGCCTTCTAGTGTCTGCAGGCCACATGCTGAAGCCACCAGCCAAACAACACAGGAAACAACCATTCCCATCACAGAAAACACTCCTAACCCGAACATTAGATCTGACTGCTTTGTGTCAATACCTTGGCACAGGACCCAGCATGATGGAAGCTCAGCAGAGAAATGGATGAAACCATTCAGGTCACTCGGTTGATCATTTCTGTCCCAGTTTTCTTCGATGGGTTATCCAACGCTCTGACATTAATGGTCTTTCACTGCAAGCAGAGCGCACGTCACCAACTTAATCACAGCACACACTGCTTGGTCCTCATTCTGCCTTTTTAAAGGGAGCGAAAGAAACCAGACACAAATTGGGCTTGAACTTAAAAATCATCCATTGCTTAAGGCGGTGCGTGAGTGTTGTCACCCTCGTAGCTGTCGGCAAACACACGGCTATTAACCACCCTTGGAAAGCAAAAGGCTTAGGGTGCCTCTTAGCCCGTTCTCCTTTATGGTGTGCTGTCAATGCTCACGACAAGCAACACTTACATGTCCAGGCAAGAGGTGGTCAGCAAGGAAGGCATCTTCTGCTTTCACAAACAGCACAGAGGGCCTTCAAAAACGCTCCTTCCTGTAGGATCCCCTTCTGGGCTTCTGCATCTCATTGGTTACAATGAATGCCTGTCCCAAACAGATGACCAGGAAAATGTTCATTCCTCTGAAGAGAGATGAAGGTTGAGCCGTATCAACCTGGTCTACTACTGTTAACCCAGAAAGCAAACGACTTACTTGTTCTGCAACCCCCCTGTCACGTTCCTGGTTTCTGCCTGTTGACGTGGGGCACGTTGTCCAATTTCCAGTGAGCTTCTACCAACAAGCAGCCAAAGAAAGGCAAAATCAGTCCCTGGAAACGCAAGAGAAGCATTGAAACCAAGCTCTGTGCTGAGTATACTCTAATAACAAGGAATTAATCTCAAAGGCTGGTTTGTAACGCACAGACAGACAATGCAGAATTACTTCTGAAGCTGCTTTAAGACAACCTGGAAAGTGGAAAGGGGAAATGCACTTGCCCAAGACAAACTGCTTCTCCCCAGCTGTGGTGGAGAAACAGAGAGGGCTGTAGCTGGTGTATTTTCAAAGGCTCATTTTCATACTGGCCCCATTAGGCATGTTTTGTACACTTAAGGCTTGTCCCAGCCTTTGCCAGTTCTCCCTGTTGTCTGTTGTGGTCGATTATTGTATCTTCTGGGCTCTTAACTTCCTCCTTGTGTCCAAATCACAGAGCTGCCACAGGTATTGGCTGCAGCACATTCCCTCACCTCTGAAGAGGTCTCCTGGCATGATTCCTGCAGCAGCATTGTTTTCAAAGCTAGCCAAGACCTGCAGATGCACCTAGATGCTGCAAGCACTGTCCAATGGTTTGCTTGCTCGGGATGCTTTCGAGCCTCAGGAACCTGCACCCAAGGAGCCATGTTCCTCTTGCAGGGGAAAACCAAAGACATCTCAGACCTCCCAGGTCTTTTCTGTCCATGAACAATTGCACCTGGAATATACTTCTGCATTAACTCCTCCAAAACAGGAGGGCAAACAGCAACACTGACCTTAGCGCCAGGGCAATCAAATCACTCCCTAGACCGGACACAGCTCTCCTCTTTATTTCACATGGCTGCTGATCCCATTTCCTGCCACGGCATCGCTGAGCCTGCAACTGTGGCAGAAGCTGTAACGCTGCTGAGACACAAACCAGCTTTCTCAATCCTTGAAAGGCAACATGCAGACCCCTGACTCTGGTTCTTGCTGCAGACCACTAAATGCTACCACCAAGGGCATCATTCAGTGGCAGCTGAAACTAGTAAGAGATGTACTAATGATCGCTCTGATCACTCATGAGAAATGATGCGGAGACAGCTCAGGAATGAAGAAGAGGACAGGTGTCCTTTTGAGGCGTATCTCCAAAAGCATTCTGAGCTGCAAGGATGCTGGCTGCCTTCTCCTGAGCACCACTATAAGGGGAAAGGATAAGAGCTGGGTTTAGGCATCCCTTTTCCATTATCACCTGGTTGTAACAGCTCACGTAACTCCTAGCTGCAGGATCTGAGTCTGGCTCAAAACAGAGGCCCGAGCATTTTCCCCTGCTGTTGAGATTGCTCTGGAACCTCAAAAGGCCCCAGCTCTGCTCCACTTCAGGGCTGCACAGAACATGCCAAAGCACTAGAGTGAAACCGGACCCGAGCTCAACTCGAAGCCAAACAAGGGGGATGGAGGAGGAAGGAAACACAAACTGGGGTTAAATGAAAGGGAGGGAGGAAAGAAACAGGAGTGAGGCAAACTAAGCATGAGTGTCAGTTCTGGTACTTTTGAAATGCCTTCAGCTCCACTGAAATAGCTAGTACTCATGTTCTGACTCTGGTCACTTCCATGGGGGCAGGACAGGAAGCAGGGACTTATTTAAACAAGAAATGTCTTTTTTTTTCAGTGGAATTCCCATTCAGCTGCAGAGGGCTCATAAGAACAATTCTCACAGACATGGTGATGCTGCAAGGGCTGGAGCAGCTCTGCTCTGGAGCCAGGCTGAGAGAGCTGAGCTGGGTCAGCCTGGAGAAGACAGGGCTTCTTAAGGGGAGACCTTAGAGCAGCTCCAGTGCCTAAAGGGGCTGCAGGAAACCTGAAGAGGGGCTTTGGACAAGGGGAATGGCTTTAATCTGACAGAGGGGGGACTGAGATTAGACATTAGGAAGAAATTCTTCCCTGTGAGGGTGCTGAGGCACTGGCACAGGGTGCCCAGAGAAGCTGTGGCTGCCCCATCCCTGGCAGTGTTCAAGGCCAGGTTGGACACAGGGGCTTGGAGCAAGCTGCTCTAGTGGAAGGTGTCCCTGCCCGTGGGAGGGGGCTGGAACTGGATGAGCTTTAAGCCCCCTCCCAACCCAAACCATTTCATATCACCACATTTTTCCATCCACAGGAAAGCGCTAAGTCCCCAGCTCCCCATCCCTCTCTGGGGGTGGGCACTCACTGCAGGGGCAGCTCTCCAGGTCACAGGGCAATTCTCCTTTCGGAGACAGCCTCCTGGAAGGATGCAGCCATTTCATCCTGTTTCAGGGCAACACCTCTCCATGTGCTATCACTGCAACCGGCCACAAACTTCCCCTTTGTTGGGGGAAGAGAGGGAAACCGATGCGTTTGACTGCTGGAAAAGCTTTGGGGTGTGAGGAGAAACATCCTGCACACAGAAAAAAAAAATCATCAAGTAGTTTTGGGAGGGCCTGGCAAACTGTTTCTATGGCCTCTCCATGGGTCGCAGCACCCCCCAGGGTCTCTCTATGGGTCCCTCTCTGTTTCTCCCCCCCCCCCCATGTCCGTACCTCAAAGGCCAGGGTGGTGGCGCCGGGCAGGAGGTGGATGCCGGGTTCGTGCAGCAGCTCCCGGAGGAGGGGGGCGGCGATGCCGGGGCGGGAGGTGCCCGGCCGGGTCCCGAGGCGCTGCGAGTCCCGGGAAGAGGGAACGGGACGGAGCGGAGCCTCCGCCCGCACCACGTTCGCCAGCGCCATCTTGGGACGAAAAATGGCGGCGGCGGAGGCACTGTGCGGCCGTTACGACGATATAACCCGCCCCCCCCCCTCCCAGTGCTTTATGCGGTAAAAGTGATGGAATTCCCTCTTTTCCATTGCTTCGTGAGGTAAAAGTGATGGAATTACCTCTTTCCCAGTACTTTGTAAGGCAAAAGTGAAGAAATACCGACTTCTGCCCGAAGGTAGCCGGGCGGAGCAGAAGCCGCCCAAAAGGGGCGGAGCCGAGGCCACGCGGTAGGACGGAGCCGCCCGTAGGTACCCGAGCGGCTCCGAGATGAGATGATGCCTCCCATTACCCCCCTATTAACCCCCGTTACCCCCCTATTAACCCCCTTTACCCCCCACTGTCCTGTATTAGAGCCATAGAATCACAGAATAGTTAGGGTTGGAAAGGACCTTAAGATCATAC